CCTGGAACATCGACAGCAGGAGGAGGAGGAGGAGTGGGAAGAAGAAGAGCAGGAGGAAACAAAGTAGGCCCTGTGAATCATCTACTACATTCGATGTTTAACCAGATCGACGTGTACTTCAATCAAAAACTCGTATCACCCCCAAACAACGCCTACGCGTACCGCGCGTACATCGAAGCATTATTAAATTATTCTTCACTGGCAAAAACTTCCCATCTGATTTCCTGTCTATGGGACACGGACGAACCCGGTTATATGGACGCGCTATTAGAATCGGACAACACCAATCAAGCTCTCGTGAGACGTGCCCGATACATCCAAGGAAAACGTTCGGTAGATCTAATAGGTCATCTTCATTGCGACGTCTTTAATCAGGATAAATTTTTAATTAACGGAGTGGAGATTAGAATGAGACTCGTTCGCTCGAGAAATGCGTTTTGCCTCATGGAAAGCAACTCAATGTCGAAAATACGCATTCTACATGCTAGTTTACTCACAAGAAGAACAAAAATAAGCCCCGCAGTGTTACTCGAACATGCGAGAATGCTGAGTAAAACAATCGCCAAGTATCCTCTGACGCGAGTCGAAGTTAATACATTCACGATTCACGCCGGAATGGTAGGAGAATCGATTGATAACGCGATACTCGGGCAACTTCCGAAACGAGTAATAGTCGGATTCGTCGATAACAAAGCGTTTAACGGCGACAGAAAGTTAAATCCATTTAATTTCAAAAATTATGGCATAAATTTCTTCTCGCTATATGCCGATGGCGTGCAAATTCCGAGTAGACCGCTGCAACCGAATTTCTCAAAAGACCATCCGCTCTATGTTGAGGCTTATAACACCCTCTTCTCAGGAACAGGCATCCATTTTCTAAACAAGGGGAATTCTATAAGCAGAGAAGATTATGCCAAAGGTTTCACGCTTTTCGCTTTCGATCTCACTCCCGATGTATCGGCAAATTGCGCTGGACATTGGAATCTTGTCAGACATGGAAGTT